TGAGCCTATCTATAGGTGTAGATCATTTCTATGGTCCCCAAACTAAATGCATTTTATAACCCATTTCATCTTTACCCAATGTCTTCTACAGGAGATAAACCATGTAAAGAGGGACCAGTCAGTATATTAGCTTTGGACGACACTCTTGGTCTTTAACTTATAATAGAATTCTTTTATGTTTTACTTCCAAACATGTACATCTACTCTGAGTAAGAATTTAATGAAAACTTGGGGAGACGTATTTTAAGAAAATACTTTAAAATTACGCTTCATCTTGTTACTACTGTGGTATCCAAAGCCCAAGCACTATTGAAACCAATTCTTTGATGACCAGTTCTGGAAGGTTTTGAACTTTATCTCCAAAATGTAAACATGTTTCTGTTCTTAAGTGGAGTATTGCCAGTATGCTAAGTACTCTTTCATACTCATAATTTTTTTCAAGTCTTAATTCAATTATTTAAACTTGAGCCTTTGGATGTCTGGGGGTCAAAACATTTCACCTGATTTAGTGAGTTCCCATTCAGTTAACCTGTTATGGCCCACATTCCTGAGAGTTTCTAGAGCTACTATGTTGTGTATAATCTTTATAATAGTTCAGCCTGGTTAACAAGCACTATTTCTGCCTTGTTTATCCCAGTCTATAGGAGAGGCCAAAGCTTTTCACTCTGTGTCAAGTTTGCTCCTCTTTTGCAGGTGGTGGTGTAAACAGAAAAGATCAGGGTGTGTCCTGGGGCATGTCCTTCCTTAGTGCCTCTCCCCTTTCTCTTTGACAAAGGAGTGACAAGAGCAGAGGAGACTTGAGGCATGTTAGTGTAAGAGAATATGGACCAGGATGGGGATGATGTGATCAGGGACAATACAACAATAATAGGAAAGTGAAATCAGGGAATACTGGAATATACAATTTAAAAAATGGCACAACCAAAAAGAGGCCCTAAGCGTTTGCACATACAGCTTATTTGTTTTGCTTTTGAAAAGGTGTTAGGATCAAGGTACAGTGGGTCTATTAGAGGTATCTCAGATCTTACAAAGGAAAAAAAAAAAAGAGGGACGAGGGAAAGAACTCTCCGTAGTAGCCACCCCCTGCCCTCTTTATTTTGGTACAATGCCTCAGGAAAGGATTATGACACAGTCACCTTGCTTTTTACAAATGCATTATCTTTTTAATACAAATATTAACTACGTTTGGCTTTTTGGGTGTCACACAATTAGCAAATTAGTCATTGACTAAAGCTATTAATCTAGGTTTTATAACACTTTCCCCACCTTAATTTTAGAATATTACATGCAAGGGGAAAAATCGCCTTCTTTTTTATTGCATTCATTGAAATCCCTTCTCTTAATGGTAGGCTCTAAAGTTATAGTGGCAGTTAGTTCTGTCATCAGAACCTCAGCACATTGAATGGAATTTTGAAAATTACAAAGACTGCACAGGCATATAGTAGAATCGATCATTCCCTCTATATGCTAAATGCACCCTCATTTGAATCTTATGCATTCCCTTAATATACCCTCCCTTTCAATTCAATTCATTGCATTTATTACAAGTATGAGATGGAAATTAGAAAGTCCCTCTAAGGCTTCATATCTTTTGTGTGCAGGATTTATGAGGAAGATAAATTTTTGCTGTTCTTTTATTTATAAAATTTAGTGAATTGAGCTAATACCCTAAGACATAAAACAAGGTGTTCATTTGTACTTACATATGCAAGTATGAAACACAATATCCATGTCATTAATCTTCTACTTATTATCACTTTAAGTGAAAACCTAGTTGTATGAGTCCAGAACCACAGCATAATATTATGAAGACAAGTGCATATATATTCCTTAATGTTCTAGTGAGAGCTTTAAAGGTTTATATAACTTGGAATCACCATTTTGAATATTATCGGTAAAACTATGAAAAGTAGTTTTAAGATCAAAATACAATGGCACAATATTCACTTTAATTCCCATGTTTAAAGTAACTTAATTTTAACAAGAGTTACAATTTGCTCTCTGTGTCCATGTATTCAGCATCCAAGGATTCAACCAACCCCAGACGGAAAATATTCAGGGAAAAACTCAATAAGAAATAACAACACAACTATAAAAATAATACAAAGAATACGGTATAACAATGATTTGTATAGCATTTGCATTGTATTAGGTATTATAAATAATCCAGATATGATTTAAAGTGTACAGGAGGATATCCATAGGTTATATGCAAACATTGTGCTACTCTATATAAGAAACTTGAACATCCACAGATTTCAATAAAGGCAGGGGTTGTGGAACCAATCCCTGGTGGATACTGAGGGACAACTGTTCTCCCTAAATACAACATTTCAAAAATGGCATCAAGAGGGGCCTAATGCTGTGCTGCATCTCTTTGGATCATCCATGTTGAAAATTTACCAAGGGACTGTCACCTTGTGGCTTTTGGCTAAGAAATCAGGTAATATAAAGCTGAAGCAGAGGCCATTTTTATTTTAATCTGTTTCTTCTTGACTTTCGTAACTTTCCCTTTGGAATAAAAGAAATGCAACTACTCTCCAGCAAATCCAAGAGCAGTTAGCCATTCTCTGTCAGAGGTAGTCACCATCCATTACCAGTGCCTAGGGGATGCTCAAGAATGGCAGTGCATGCCGTTCCTGGACAACAGGAGGGGTGACTTGAAAACTGTCTAGTGTTTTGTCCATCATACCCATTAAGAGAGTTGTGTAATGGAATAACATTTTTTTTTTAAATTTGAGTATTTAGCTGTTGGAGTCACCATGGATTGGTACTGAGACCTTGAATAAAGTCCTCCTCTTATAGAGGAGCCAGCACTGTGTTAAATAGTCATATAAATTCATGCATTTCCATCTGTTTCTCCAGATAAGGGTGTTTCTTTACTTGTCAAGTCATTAATCTTCTACTTAATATCACACTTAAGCCAAAACCTAATTATATGAGTCCAGAACCACAGCATAATATTATGAAGACAAGTGCATATATATTCCTTAATGTTGTAGTGAGAGCTTTAAAGGTTTATATAACTTGAAATCACCACTTTGAATATTATTGGTAAAATTATGAAAAACAGTTTTAGGATGAAAACACAATGGCATGTTAATTTCATAGGTAAATGTGATCTTGCAGCTAAATCTCATGTTATCCATTTCAATAGCTGTGGGTTATTATACAGTTTAATTCAATTATTCTTGATTAGATAGAGTTAATCCATTGTAGGGATTGATTAACATAATTCTGGCAATTTGTAGAGGATAGATATGTTAAAGATATAGAGTAAGAAATATTTTATTTAACATATGTTTATACTAGCTTAGTTTCAGAACTTAAAGATCATAATTTACTTTACTCTACCAGTGCATGCACACACACACACACAAGCACACATACACAAGCACTCATGTGCACACACACATACACACACACACACACCCTTAGTTTATTCCTTGGTACTTTAACAATCAGTTACTGCTTTGGTGAAAGCCTAAAGCTTAATCCATTAAGAGCCATTCAGAACAAAACAAACAAACAAAGCTTTAACCACTTCAGTGACAACAGTGCAGAACCAACAAGGAGCCTTCTTAGAAAACCCTAGCAATTTTAGGATCAATAGCTTCACACTAGATGCTCCTAAGTGATGAAAGCTAGAAAATTTGTGCTGCCGGGTTTTAGAGAAAACACAAAACACAAAAAAATGTTGGGAAAAGATAATTTAATAAGTTTAGTTTGGAAATACCCATGCAGTTTAGAGGGCTAACTTAAGTCCCGTCAGTAGTTATGATGAAAACAAACTAATTTAAACATCATGTTGGGCTGAAAACTTTACCTGTGTATCCTGCAAATGGAACTCTTAAAATATCTTTTAGACTCTCTCCAAGTTCCACTACTTAGGGCTTTCTTATTATTTCTTCTAATTAGTGTAAGTGAAATCTTTGGGATACACACACACACACACACACACACACACACACACACACACACACATATGCATGTATATATGTATAAAAATTGCAAATATTTCTTTGAAAACAAATCTAAAGTATTTAGGAGAACTTTACAATCCACTTAATTCAGGGCTACAGTTTGAACAATAAAACCAACAAATACATTTGTATATGAGAGGAGCAAAAACAAACATTTTTTTTCCACAAGATTAAAAGCCAATTCATTTCCTTTAAGAATTATTCCATTGTATATTATCTTTTGTGAAAAAATCCATTAGCTTCTTTTATACATCCTCAAGTCTTAAATAATACAACACTGCTGGAGGATGTGTTTTATGGAGAAAATCTTCTGTCATTCCATAGAATTAAAAAGGGCCTCCTACATCTTTTGTGTTCATTGCAATTATTCTTTTCAGTTTCATAAAACAATTTTAAAATACTGTATCTCCTGTAGTTATAGTTTTACAAATGCCTTTACATTAATACTTAATTATAAACTCAGTAATGAAATAGGAGTGTTATTTATTATTTATCTCAAAATATCAGCTGGCTAGACTTCACCCATAAATTATCTGAAGGCATTAAATTATATACCTTCGTAGGTAGTCAACAGACACTGTTGGGATTGTCTACAGCATGTTTACAAGCTAATTTGTTTACAGAATGTTGACTACTCATTTACATTTCTGCTTTTTTTATTCTAGCAGATCATCTCTGAACAAACATACTTAATATAAGGAACTTGTAAAACACATCTTTTTAGTTTAAAAAATAAGTGTCAGATCAAAAGCAGAATAATCTCTTTGCTGAAATGTTATCAAATAATATTGACCATCAATATTTTACACACTAAAGAAATAAATTACCCTGAAATATCATGAAAATGCATGATTTTCCTGTGTGTCAGGAATGCTGTGCAGTTTTGTCTGGATTCATTAAGGCGCTCACTGCATAAGTGCGTTGCCAACCGGAATGTGGGTGGCTATAATGGCAGCCTGTAGGTTTGTATGGAAAACAAGTATGGCACTGTGAAAAAATCCTTCTCTCACCCTACAGATACCTGTACGGAGAACTTGGGAGGCATTTTCATAAGCTCTTTGTCAAGTGAATGTTAAAGTCCCCATTCACTGAGAAGCAAAGGTAAGTCTGAAAAATGCGTTGAAAAAAGAAAAGGGGGTGGGGAGTGGGGTGGAATCACCTAGCATTGAAGCAGCCTAACCAAGTGACAGACACGTAGACAACTCCGATGCTGCCAGAATAACACTCTGCACAGCCCACCAGCAAGCAATTTGTCACTGCGACAAGAATATCCTCCGCAATTTGGCATCAGGGTCCTTGGACAGCCAACTGCGCCTGTACAGCACGAGACGTGCTATTCGGCAACGGGAAGATGGGAACCAAGGTTCTCGTTATTATGTCCAAATGTGTTATTTTATGAAAAACATATCTTTTGTCATGATCAACATAGAGGTAGAACAGAAGTAATTGATAATAACTGGGGACAAATGAGATGAAAAATTGAGAAAAATATGTCCTTGTATTTTTTTAGGTACCCTGACTGTTGAGAGAATTTCAGGATGTTTGCTTGATGTGTCTGGTATTTTATGGCACGCTTCCACAGTATTTCATAGGAATAATAAATCCATACGTGCAGAATGAACTGGGAAGATTTTTGGTGGTATTAAACCATTTGCTTTAGGCAGACCGTACTCTTTGCTTTGTTTTAGACTTTACATGATTGTATATGGTGTTTGATTAATAATATGCTGCTGGGTGCAAATCTTTTCTTATTGGTCTAATTTGAAATAAGACAAATAATACAAGGTAAGTTGAGTTAAAAATTTGCAAAGGAAAGACCTTTTACTCTTTACATTGCTATCCTGGTAATCTATTATAAAAGTGCAGTAAAGGAAAGAAGCCAGGAGCATAGGATAAAGGTATCTGATAAATAAGCAAGTAGTGTTCCCCTTGCCAATTACTTGGCATCTTACTTTGTAATTAATGCCACAGTAATGAAAAAAGTGGTAGGCACGAAGATTGGGCCTTTTGTGCATTCTATACAGAAGCAAACACTCATAAAAATCTAGCTCAAAGCTACCCTAGTTTGGCTTTCTCCACAATCAAAACTTGCTGGAGAATTAGAACAATCCCATAGGGGTGTGTGTGTGCGTGTGTGCGTGTGTGTGTGTGTTACAATGTATTATATAAGAGTGACATCAGCCAATTGTGGTATTGCTGTCTCCATTACACAGACAAGGGTGTCCTTCATTCCCCAGACATGATGGAATCTTGTACCCATTCTGCCAGGAGCTAACATCATGGTATCTATTATGTTGTTCACTGGTTGTCCTATGAAGCACGTTAGCTAACTGCTGCTTAAGTCGCTATATTAACTGCCTGGCCATTCCTGGTGTATTTCCAAGAATCTTATTTAGTTGTGCTCTCTGCAAACTTTCAGGAAATCCTAAAAGTACTTAAAAGTTAAATAATAATGAGAGTAGTAATATTAATAGGCATTGTTTTAGAAGTAAGAAAGAATATAATTTAGGCAATTTTGATATTATTTGAAATCCAGTATGTGTTTCAAAAATTATCAAGCTAATATTGTAACAATATTCCACAAAAATGTTTTCCCTGTCTATCCACATAAACTGGACAACGGTGAATGGCTGGGGGTCGGCAGGTTGGATAATGAGGTGTTTAATTGTGATGCTTTGGAAATGGTGCTGGGATGGAGTGTGTTGACTAGCTATACAAGTGGATGGTTAAGTGAAAAGGCCTAAGGTTTATATTATTTGAGGAATAAGCTACAAAGAAAGGGGAGAACAGAGATGAGTGAAGAGAGAATGTTCGAGGCTAGAGAGTACAAAATACAGTGGAGACCATAAAGAAAACTAACCCCTACTTTTCTAAGCTTCACATGGGGTGTTTTCCTTGCAACTCCCATTAAAGTCAATGGGAATCATGCAGCTAAAACCCTGTGTAACTCTTTGACAATTTACTTCCTAGTGTCAGGAAAAGAGTACTACCTACTAAAGGCAATTTACTCGTTTTAGTTTGTGCCTCCCATACAAAGATGAATTTGATAGCACATAGCAGGAGGAAAAGAGAGACTACATTTAAGAATTTTGTTATTGCAAAAGAAGTCATCATTGAAAAATGTCGCCTAAACTCTCACCTTGTTTAGCAACAACAATAAACAGAGAAAAGCAAACCAGTGAAAGAACATGAAAAGAAGTATGGACTTGATTACAGGAAAAATGGTGATTGCTAGTATTAGGTCTTTTTTTTTTTTTTTTTTTTTTTTCACTTTAAATTCTCTAGCTCTGAGCACAATCGCAGGATAATAAGAATACAGGACAATTCTTAAGACACCAAATTGAAGTTCCTGATTACTTGCTTTTTCTGTGCACCTCAAGTTGTACATATATAAATACAGCAATGGTATCCTTACAGAATTCTTAATAATACACATACAGTGGGGGTGGGGTTACCATAGGCTCCTAGTTATAGATGGCAAAATAAACAAATGGCAGATGTCTATTCTGCTGTAAGCAATAACTAAATAAATGCAACATGACCTCTATATAGTATTATTTTTGAAAGCTATAGGATGTGCCTGTTAAAAAATACGTGCTATTTACAGACTACTTCATGAACTTTGAAGTCGGAATACTAACACTGGCTTTCAGCCTTTATTTTCATTATGTCTCTATATTTCTTTAGTCTCAAATGAAAAGTCTTTATTTCAGTGCTCTTCCATTTTACTGATATAATTCTAATTTCACTGTTATAAGTGGTATATGGGCTGAAGATGGGGCTTCTGTATTTTCTGACTCCCTTCTCTGTGATTTGTTTTGTGACTTGTCCTTTGGAGGGTGAAGAACTGAGACCCTACATGGCTTTTTAGTGCATTGATGGAGCAGAGACACTTCTATGAACAACTGCCTATGCAAACTGATTACTCGGCAGTATAATTTATCAGTTCTTACGAGTAAGTGAGTGCTTCTCACTATGGATTTAACTTGCACTTCAATTTAGGTAAGTATACTGCTGCAGCAGCCTTGAAAACAGCACTCTCTGATTGTACCAATTAGTAAATCCTGAACTTTACCACCAGAAAAAGACATAGCTCCACATTTATGAATGTCTGGCTTTTGAGAATTAGAGTAATTATGTCACCAAAACTGCCATTGATTTTTCAGATAGACATCTCAATAATTTTGCAAGAGTAAAAGCCTTTTTCTAAAGCACATGGGTATTTTTTTATGGTACGAATAATACATAGGGATGAATACAGCGATTTGATATGTGAGAACATTTAAGGGAGGAGGTATTTTATTTGAACAGAATTTAGATGTGTTTCTGGGCTGAGTTCGTGATTATAAATTTCATGGTGGAGGGTTTTGACTGTGTGAGAACTTCTGACATCTAATTTTTTTTGATGGAGGGGATTGAGAATTTATGAAATAATAGAATAGCATGTGCTGTTGTTAAAACAGATTACAATATTATCATAAAATAATAGGTGAAAATACATTTAATTTTCTATGTTTTAGTTTAAAAATTCACAGCTGGTTTATGCTCCTCCTTATATCCCAAGCCATTCGTCATTGGTGACTATATCATATATCCTGAACCAAATATACATTAACAGATTTCTGTTCACAAATTAAGCCTGAACTGAATTTAGCACATAGAGGTTTTTAGCCAGCTATTAAACTTCTTTGTTTTTTTCCTTCTAATTGAACATAGGTATGGTTAACAGCATTTTTGTATCAGCAAAAATAAATGAATATCAGTATTTAAATGCCCCCCACCCCCCGACAAAAAAAAGCCTGATATTGCAGGGAAAATGTCATTCACAATATTGCAGATACTTGTTTTCTTCATATTCCAGTGTCACTGTTTCATTTTAGGTAAGAACCTGAATACTCATTAACACATTTTATGGAGTTAAAGACCTACAATGTCATATATTCGAGATCTCTTATTTTAGAAATTATATTTTCCATGATCTGAAAGAATTAGATATCTGAACCAATTAAGTTCTAAAATTAATCCGTTTGTTTCAGACTTGTTTTGCTGGGGAATTTGCTATAAATCAATGTTTGCTGTCACTGAAGTTTAGGGCATCTTTCAATATTCATTTAAAAAATATCTCCTTCCACGTGGTTAAAGAATTATTATGACTTTGAGATTACATCTATGCAATCATTTTGCAGTATGTGTAGCTGGAGAAAGACAGACAGTAATAGTATAGGTTGCCTTTCAATATCTCAAAATCATGCTTTTAGTTTCTAGCGCGAGGTTTTTAGGCACACACACACACATACACACACACACACACACACTGCATTGCCTTTGGCTCAATGAGAAACACTTTGAATATATTTAACCTGAAATATTTTTCCAGTCCCGGGGATACTGTTTCTTGAACTAGTTTTATCACCTGTACAAAATAATTATGTAAGCATTATCACTAAGAAAGTCTAAGAAGCAAAAAAGAATAAGTGTATAATCAAATTAATGACTGATTATATGCATAAGGACGAGTTTGTATTCATTAGTTTCTTTACCATGGCCACATTTCTCTTTTTCTTGTTTTCCTATTTATCTGCATTTCTTCAAACACGACACTTGACTAGCCTTCTGCAACTAAAATATGTTTGGAAAGCTAAAATGTGGAAGGAGGTAATTGTTGGGTAAGACATGGCACTGTTAACGATGTTGATTCTCTGGCTCCAGAGATCTTCGGGATTTTTCATATGGTAAATTTCTGATGCTCCACCTCAAAGATTTGAAGCCTGATCTTCATTCTATATCCAAGAAAAGGAAGCCATTGTACAATAGGCTGAGTATTCTGGAGCAAAAGGTCACCCAACATTATACAAGCTTGCCTAAGACCAAAGCATGGAAAGGAAATCCTCCTCTCAGGCAGTGTTGTCTGTTCCCTTCTTGGCGTGTGTGCACAATTTCTTTAACACTAAGGGGATTTAAGCATGGGTACTGCGGGAGGAAGGGGCTTTATAAAGTGAAATGGGGCCTTGAAATTTCTCAAAGATGCCCTAAAATAGACAAGGAACAAGTCTGTTCCAAATGGTAAGATGGAGCAGGATAGTAATGATGGAGCAGGATAATTTTTTATTTACAGATATAAAACATCAGGTGAAATACAACATAATTTTCATAGTTATTTAAGTGTGAAAGGCACATAATTGGTAAGTTAAATTATTTCACGATCTTTTAAGAGGCAGTGTTGGGCAATGGGAAAACAAATAGGTTATTTATCTGTTTTTTCAATAACATGCTATACAAATTTAAGCAAGTCATTTAGTTAGGGCTTTGTATTGCTTCACTAGCAGAAATTCATAGCATCCATTTGATTATATTTCAGGTCTTTTGGGATACTAGTATTGGATGATTCTGTGTCACAGCTGTAGTTGTCAAAAGTGCCTACATGGGTACAAGACAAACGATATTCTAACACTGTTAACATAACAAGTGATGCAAGATTATTGCTGACACCTGATTTTTTCCAGTATTATTTGAGCTCTTATTCTCCAAGAGGATGTATTATATTTACTATGACGGTTTCATTCATTTCCTCATTTGCTCACTCAAAAACAATACTGAGTATTGATTAAGGGGCATGTCTATCCCGTCTGTCAGTAATTCAGAAACCAGTAAGATAAAGTTTCAAAACTTCAAAATACTGATCATCTGGTGAATGAGGATATAAAACAAAGGCAACAACACAACACAGCAATGCTATAATAAAAATGTGCCAACATTTTTATGGGAAGTTGGAGGAGTTGCTCTTAACTTGCCTCAGAGAGGCTAGAAGACTCCATACAGGAGGTGATCGCTGAACTAGATTGACGGATGGGACCACTTCAAACTCTTGTCAGTAGACTGAAGATTGCCACAGGAAGGTTCAAAGTCAATTAATGTTTTTTAGAAGGTCTTTGGCTTTAACACTTTCCATGGTTTCAAAAATATACATTATTGTAAAGCTCTGCTTCTACCATTTTGTTTTAGTATTGGTTTACTTTCTTGTCTCTTTTACATTACATAGGAAGGGACGGGAAAAACAATAAGTACTAAATGTAGGTGTATGGTTAATATCATGACTACTTTCCACTCATTCAATACCTCCATTTAAAAAATAATATATCTCCGTGTGTATGTGTATGAAAAAGTAAAGTAAATATATGTAAATTATTATGAGATTTTTCTGAGATAACAGGAAAGATAATGGAATATTAATAAGCCCAAACAGAGAAATCTATACTCAAATTATTTTAAATAGTTGGTAATTCTAGGGCTTTCCAAGAATAGTTAAATATTCAAACTTTTTTTCCCCATTATACAATGTGTTAGAAGGATTCTTTTTCTAGCAGGTGTGAAACAGAAGCAGGTAGCAGGAGAGCTAAGTACACAGAAAATATTGGAAACAAAATCAGAATTTAATGATCTAGGTCAGTGATTCTCAAACTATAATGTGTTTAAGAACTACCTGAAGAACTTGTTAAAGCAGTAGGCCTGGGGTAGGACAGATTAATTTTCATTTTTTACAGACCCATAGATGATGCTGATGCTGTTGGTTGAGAATCACACTTGGGGAATCACTTATCTAGACGAGTCCTTCTGATATTTAATCTATACAAATCCCCTCAATCTTGTTATACTGAAGATGCTGATTGAGTAGACTTAAGTTGTATTACATGGTTTGGTGATTTCAGAAAATAATAGGTCCAAATAAGGCTTCGAGTTTATTTCCTGATCTAATTAGATTGTATCCTTACCAACAAGATCACTGTTTCTTGTATACAGTATGAATATATATTATCACCCCATTGAGAGAAGAATTTACTGAGCTCCTGTTTCTTGTATGAAATGACTGCCCTAGTTACTAATTAAGTAAAAAGTGAGTTTCTTCTTTTACTTAGCTTCCATAACCATTCTGAAGCTTTAGAAATGAAACACTATCCAGACTGGTCATTTATTATGTTTATTATGTTTTCTTGATTCTAATAAATTATATATAAGTACAGATGGCAAAAAAGGACTGCTCTAATATCTCAACTCAAAAAAAGAAAAATTTTAGGAATACTACATTAGACAAGGATCATTATCTAGCCCCCTTATTTAAAATTTTTATTTAGTTAGACAAAGTCTATTCATATAAAGCAAAAAGTTGAACTAAATCTTGTCAAATGAGCTGGAAAATATACTTAATTTTGATGAGATAACAGTCCCTGGTGGATTATATGGGTGTGGGTGTGAAGGAGCCTTACTAATAAGTGTTGGCTGTCTTCAACCCACATTTTCTCAGTAATTGATAATTCTCCATTTCTTCTCTGCTATGTAAACCTTTTAAAAAATAGAATAGTGGAATCATGATAATGATAATACATTAAGAAATTTGAAGTAGAAATTTCTGATAGAAATTTCAAATAAAAAATACAAGTAATAGAATCTGTAGTCCATATTTTGGCCAACTTTGAATTGTTTGAAGAACGATGGGGATGCATACTTTCTTTTTTCTCTTATGCTGCTCCCATTCACAAATTTTCGAGTGATGTGACACTGTTAAATTCTGTAATTCAGTGACTTGAAATGATGTTTGCATAGTTAGCAGCAAATATCTCTATTCTGCTTATGTATGTATTTATTTATTTGGCTGAACTGGAACAAATATGGGTAATTGATTTGAGTATTTGTTAATGCAAATGCCAAAGTCTTTAGCCATATTATTGTAAAACTATTTTAAAGTTTTACAAACTATTTTAAAGTTTCATAATAATTTTAAGATTTATTTCTGCCTGGTGTATGTGGTTTTTTATATGATCATTTATGAGGATAAATGATTATAACAATAATCTGTAATTAAGTACTTTGTCATTTCTACTCCTTTTGCCTATTTCCAAAGGGTATTAATTTCTGATCCACTCACCAAATTGAACTATTACAAAAAAAAAAAAAAAAAAGGTTTACTTGCAGGATGTTTGACTTCTTAGAAAACACTATACTTGTGT